ACAGTACATTTCAACATGTCACATGTATTCGGCGATAATCGGAGTGGGATCAGGGGATTTTCTTCCAACAGCAATCGGCACAATCACGGACAACCTACCACATATTTCACACGTACTGAAGAGTTGTTGGACGGAGGTTTCTGAATGCTCTTCCAGATGGATGAGCTTATGAGTGTAAGACCATGGTTCATTTACTTGGAAAACCTATTTTATTTTCCATATTTATATTTATTTATTTTACTCCTGTATTTTCTAAGCGGTGTTTTTTTTTGATATATACCCATACGTACACCTGCGACCCGCGTTCACATCGCCAAAGAAAAATCTTCCCAACTTTAGTGAGCCGAAAAATATATAAAATAAAATATAAAATAAATATATAAAGTATAAAGCGTATGCCGCATACACCCATTGCAGCAAATGGTTTTTTGGATCTAGAATTATGGAAATAAAGTTTTTTACATATAGAATAGCTCCCTTGTTAAGCCCCAACCTTATCGGGTAAATCTGGTCTACACCTTTCTCTTAGGAATTCTGCGATGCCAAAAATGAGCACCCCGTGGCTACTGTCATGTGAAACTGTACATGCCACGGTGGGTGCAGTTTTCCCGACGAAGTTTCCACCAAGATTTTATACCGAAATATTCTCAAATACTCGCAGACCCCTCATGACGTCTGTGCACCGGTTAAAAAACGTAATGTTACCATAAAACCGCAGGTAAAGCAGTTCAAAGAGAAATTGCCCACAGAGATTTTCAATAAATGACTGTTCCCGGTAGATTTCATTACTTCGAAACACCATCGAAATACGGCATGGGAATTCCGATTTGAGACAACGTGAAGTAGAGTCAGCGGAGATACTCAAATGTCCATTCAAACGGCCTCCGCTAATTTGTTCCGAAACGCATATTACGGTGAGACGGTGGTTTTGTCCGATCTCGCGCCAGATGATATATGGAGTTAGCGCTGGATGATATATAGAGCTATGGTTCTCAACTTTCCAACGTGACGTACGCTTACAATTTGGGATGGTGTGAACGACTGCGGTTATTTTTCCAAGCCTGAAACGTTGGAAGTCTAACGCGAGAACCTCAAAAATGACCATCCTATCGCTAGTGCCCTTCTGATCAAAAGGCCCTATCAGCCTATACTGTATAACCAACCCAGAAGATACTGTTCGTAAAGCCTGCAGCTACACGAGAAACCACGGATCCCGATGTCCCTCGCATTCTTTGTGTTTCTTGTGATCGGAGAACATTTCAAAACGAGTTTTTGAGCGTCTTTTTCATAGCAAGGGGATTAATTACAATGAGCTGCTCCCGATTAGATGGTGAACCATTCAGTGTGCTTCCGAAATTCTTTCTAATCGCTCAGATATGCGTCGAAGAAAACGATCAAAAATCTTCCGATTTTAAAAACCAGCGCTTTGATTGCAGCCATGGCTAGCTTAGGAAACATTAAGAAACTGGAAGGGCGCATTAGCAGACGGGTTGGGCCAAGCAAAGTCTCGTCCACGTTCGAAAGGGTTGAAATATTGCAGTGTTCTTCACTTGTACTGTATGAGAAAAAAACTTGTGAAAGGAACCAGTTGAGTCTGCCCAATAACAGTGCAGCACAGCTTACTAACCACCTTTATTCCACTAGCAAAACGAAAATTTATTTGAATACCCTGATGAAAATCGGATGCATGGCTCATTTCAAAGAAGCGCCATGCACATAATGTTGTCACGACAGTTTTGCAGCAATGCTTGTAAGCTTGTCTGTTTAAGAGTTGTTGCTCATGGAATGCTACCAACTTCTGCTTTTATGACAGTTATCGCACAGAAGTTGGAAAACCTGGTCGCTCGCAACTCACAGAAGCAAAAATATCCAACATATGCTCTTTCTCCACAGAAAATGATGTTCTTCCAAAATAAAATTCTCACTCTGGTGAAGCAAAAGGAACGATGGTCTTCCGGAAGCTTTCGCGGAAACGAGCAGAAACAAGGCTCACTGGGTCAGAAGTGAGTGTTTTACAAAGAACTGGAAACCCTACTCGCATTACCGCAAACTATAGCAAGAACGGGCAAGGTGAGCAGAGGAATAGGCTGTAGAGATTTTTCGATAAATAAGTAATGCTTCCAAATAGAACTAATAAAGATAAGGGTATTGCAAAACTAGAGACGAAAATGAGTCTTCCCAAAAACGTTGTGCTGTATTTACCAATGAAAGGCGTGTGTAGATCATTTTAAGCTGGCTTCATAAGGGCATAAGGTCTCCCGGCTCACCATAATCACAGTGTCGCTCCTGTGAAAATACTGTGCTACCATATTCACAGTATCCTACACATGCAAAGCAGATTCGGTCATTGGCGGCCTACTGTAATTCACCACTCAATTCAGATACTCGTGCATTCGCTTTCGCTGGTAAAGATGAAAGACGACTTCAGGAAGGAGCCTATCAACGTTGATGATCTTATTAGTTAATTAAATGCAAGCAGGTTGTATGCAAGTAAGCTGTTTGTTTATGTACGTCCATTCCACCCAACCATGAGTCCCGGAATAAACTGTTCAAAGTATAGCTGATTATGTTTCATCTGATCATGCTACGAAGATGTCTCATTTTCAGAGGGTTCTCCCGATGAAGTTCCTGCAGCACACTATCCTTAGTAATTACCAAGGATAAACGCAAACGCTAGAAAAGAATGATAAATGAAATTTTGGAAGATCAAGCACCGGAAACCACTTGAAAAGAGACATCGTCTTTCAAAATGTTCTAGTCACCATCCCACGTACCTGAGAGTAGTGAGAGGCAAAGGAATGCTAGCGTCGCATACATCGCCTCTGCAGATGAGGATCCACGCACTCGTGCCAGAGATACGGTAGTCAGTTTCAAACGCGGACGGAGGCTTTATATAGAGGTGGAGACACTCCGGCCAGCGAGCTACCGTTAGCGTATGAAGTCGCGTTTCCGCGCGTGTGATACGTGCACTTTTGCGTTCAGTGAAGTGCAGGGACGACATGTGAGAGAAATGGAAGGACGGAGACAGCAGAAGACAAAGTCGCAACATCTTGACCGTTCTCGACATTCGCTCGCACCGGGACCGGTTGTTCGGCGCGAAGTGCATTAGCAATCAACCGTGTTCAATTTGTCCCATAATTTGAGAATTGCTTTTAATTATCGGTCAAGTCGTTACGAACTAATGACAGCGCATGCTGCTCGTTGTAGGTTCAGAAATCGCACAGTTTGCAGCGGTGGCTCGCCGTGTAGTGGTCCCCATCTGGTAGAATTGGCATTTGGCAGAGCATGTAAAACTACGACTCGAAATTGCTCCTGTTTTCATCTTCATCCAAAAACTTATTGAAGAACTCTCATTCCACGTAGAATCTTGGCCAAAAGTGCATCGACCTTCCAAAGATTCCGGTTTTTTAGCCACTTTCTTTTCCCAAACATCGAGAAATCCACCCTCGGCGTGATTTCTTCTCTGATTGCGCACGATGAATATAGGGACACTTCGAACTTCTGCTCGTTTTTCTTGCTGGGACTTCTTGGGGAGAAATCGTGGCCCAAAATCTCGATGCGATAATTTCCTGACTACGTTTTTCTGGAAAATGTTTCATATTGACTGCCTGGAATTTCTTTTTGAAGACAATTTCCGACGTTTCGCACACAACATTGACCGAAAAAATTCCCATTTTCTGACCAATATAAGACGCTGTCTTTAGATGTGTTATGTGCGGGTTCAAGCATAGATGTTGCTCCCTTGTTGAAGCAGGGCACACCACCGGAGAGTATTCCCGGTGGGAGGATCGTGTTTGACCGTTGAGGTGAGTCGGGAGGTCGTAATGAGAGGGGCAGTCAGTACCTAGCGCAAAGGTGTCAATGTTGCTGAGCCCTGAGTTGCAGGAAAGAGTTTGCTCACCAGGGAAGGTCAACAGGTCGCCATGGCCATTCAAGATGAGATGCATATCGACGTGTAGGTCTTGGGACGCTGAACTCAAATCTGCTTCCAAAATTTGCCGAACGATTCTCTATGAGGAGTTAGGGGGGGGTTCTAGCATAGCACTCGCCGATCCTCCTTTGCGTAGCTCAAGTTAAGTTCGAGTACAGACAGTCTCAAGTGGTCGATGGTGTAGTGGATAGGTAAGTTGCTTCATAGATGGGAGGTCATGGGTTCGATTCCTTGACAAGTTCGCATTTTTGCATTTTTTCGGAACATCTTCTGCGAGTTCAGAAAATACTTTTATCCGTTATTTTGTCAAGCTTGCTTATACTTGCAGGAGGAAAAGGCTCAAGTGCCGGCAATTGTGGTTCGGGACTTTCAGGCAGTGTTTACCCTTTACCGCCCGAACCACCCGAAATCAGATCAATTTTTGACCGACTTTTTTCTTCGCGAGCAGAATTGGCTGAAAAGTTGCCTACCTAGATATCACATCCGCTCGGCACGAAACCTCCTTAGCACCCGTGCCACAGGCGCCAGCGCCAAAATACCCTAAATCACCAAGTTCGCTGAAAACTTGTCAACTGGGGTAGTTTGACCTCCTAGACACGAATACATCCGTACAGTCTGAAACCGCCTGACGCATACGCCACAAGCGACCCATCACATGCTTGTTCCGACTCCGGCGCGTGTAGCACAGACTCCAGTCGCTTTCGTGCAGGGCTCTGTGCTAGGGCAGTTGGGCAAACTGGCCGAAGTAACGCACCACTCTTCCTGGTTGCCTGTCATAGAAATTCTTCCCTTGCTAAGGCTCAGCCTCAGCAGAGAAACGGCCTCATCTCAGAGGGGTGCAGGCCAGCAGAAGCAGGTGCGTGGTCGAAGTTACCCTCT